GCCAGCATCAGAGGGGCAGCCAGGCCAGCATCAGAGGGGCAGCCAGGCCAGCATCAGAGGGGCAGCCAGGCCAGCATCAGAGGGGCAGCCAGGCCGGCGGCAGAAGGTCAGCCAGGCCAGCATCAGAGGTGCAGCCAGGCCAGCATCAGAGAGGCAGCCAGGCCGGCGGCAGAGGGGCAGCCAGGCCGGCGGCAGACGGCAGCCAGGCCAGCATCAGAGGGCAGCCAGGCCAGCATCAGAGGGGCAGCCAGGCCGGCATCAGAGGGCAGCCAGGGCAGCATCAGAGGGGCAGCCAGGCCGGCGGCAGAAGGTCAGCCAGGCCAGCATCAGAGGTGCAGCCAGGCCGGCATCAGAGGGGCAGCCAGGCCGGCGGCAGAGGGGCAGCCAGGCCGGCGACAGAGGGGCAGCCAGGCCAGCATCAGAGGTGCAGCCAGGCCGGCATCACAGGGGCAGCCAGGCCGGCGGCAGAGGGGCAGCCAGGCCGGCATCAGAGGGCAGCCAGGCCGGCATCAGAGGGCAGCCAGGCCGGCGGCAGAAGGTCAGCCAGGCCAGCATCAGAGGTGCAGCCAGGCCGGCGGCAGAGGGGCAGCCAGGCCGGCATCAGAGGGGCAGCCAGGCCGGCATCAGAGGGGCAGCCAGGCCGGCATCAGAGGGGCAGCCAGGCCGGCATCAGAGGGGCAGCCAGGCCAGCATCAGAGGGGCAGCCAGGCCGGCGGCAGAGGGGCAGCCAGGCCGGCGGCAGAGGGGCAGCCAGGCCGGCATCAGAGGGCAGCCAGGCCGGCGGCAGAGGGGCAGCCAGGCCGGCATCAGAGGGCAGCCAGGCCGGTGGAGCTCACGTGGACCCCAAATTCATCTTGAAGTGCGGGCACGATCCTGCCATGTTCTCAAATACAAGTTAACAATGCCAACAAAATGGAACTTTAGTCTGTCTTCAAAAGACACGGACTTTTGTGTGATAGTTCAGCATGAAGGCCTTTGTGGGCGCCACACTCACGCCTGTGATCCCAGCTACTCAGGAGGCTGCAACCTGGAGGATCACAGTCAAAGCCAGCCTGGACAGAAGAGTCTGAGACTGGATCTCCAAAATAAAGAGCAAAACACCAGACTGGAAGCATGACTCTGGTGGTAAAATACCCCAGGAGTAAAAAAGCCAAGTGAGAGCATGAATGAGGTTCTGAGTGCAAGCTTCGTACTCACAGACACACGTGCTGCGCACACGCGCATGCACACACACACAAGCACACACACTCCCAAGCTTAGCATAAGCCACAAGTATTCTGGATTTATCTAGAAAAACAGGCAGAATTCTAGTGCCAAAACCAGCAGAGAGAGTGAGAAAGAGACAGACAGAGATCAGAGACCTCGGAGGGGAGAGATGGAGAAAGATAAAGAGGAGAGAGCAAGAGGCGGGAAGGGGAGGGGGGGAGAGAGAGAGGGGAAAGTAAGACGGACACACTGTAGATCCAGCTCATAGAAACACAGAAGTAAGAGATTCTAAAGAGAAGATTAGCATAGGCAAACCTGCCCTAAAGAACCTGAGTCCTATGTCTCCTCATTACAGAAAACAATGCAGATGTCCCTTTGCTAGAACTAGAAGGCAGATGTGGTACACGCCGTAACCCCAGCACTCGGGAGGCCAGCTGGGCGCCAGGGTGGGCTCCAGACCAGCCTGACTCACAAACAACAGCACAACACATTAGAAGTCGAGGCCCCACACCACCAGCAACACCAATTCTGGGTTTAAGTGCAAAGAAGTAGTCGGGTGCCGGTGGCTCACACCTGTCATCCCAGCTACTCAGGAGGCTGAGATCTGAGGATCGCGGCTCAAAGCCAGCCCGGGCAGGAACATCTGTAAAACTCTCATTTCTGATAAACTACTCAGAAAACCAGAAGTAGTGCTGTGGCTCAAGTGGTAGAGCACTGATCTTGAGCTAAAGAGCTGAGGGACAGTGCCCAGGCCCAGAGTTCAAGCCCCACGACCAACCAAAATAAATAAATAAGTGCAAAGAAGTAAAGTCAGTACCATGAGACAGCAGCAGCCCACGCACACCCACGTTCACCCCCACATAGCCCCATGCACACCCACGCACACCTACGTACACCCCACCCACACCCACATTCACCCCCACATAGCCCCATGCACACCCACGCACACCTCACGTTCACCCCACCCACACCTCACGCCCCATGCTCACCCACTCCACAGGCCATGCACGCTCACATCCATACCACGATCATCCTACACTCACCCGGGCTCACCCCTGCATTCACCGTAGCCGACTTCACAGCGTGGACGGAGCGGCCATGCCCAGGGAGGTGCGCACTGGCACTGGGCCTGAACTCCCAGTGGAATGCGGGGCCAGCGCGACCGTGCCGTGCCACCGTGGGAGAAGAGCATGGCCGTCACCGCAGGCTTGTCAGGTTCATGGAGACTGTGGCCTGGGGGGGCAGGGGCTCTGCCATGAGGAGGACCACAGAATGGGGGTCACAGGGCAGGGTGGAGGTCATGGGACAGAGTGGGGTCACAGGACAGGGTAAGGGTCACATGGCAGGGCTGGGGTCATGGGACAGGGTGGGGTCTCGGGGCAGGTTGGGGGTCATGGGGCAGGGTTGAGGGTCATGGGGCAGGGTTGGGGGTCATGGGGCAGGGTTGGGGGTCATGGAACAGGGTGGGTCATGGACAGGATGGGGTCATGGGGCAGGG